CCCCAAAACCCCAAAACCCCAAAACCCCATCATTTTGCAATTATCGAAATAATTGAATATTAGAATTATGAAATAATGTTATTGACTGAAATATACAAACTCTCATCTTCTCTTCTTTTTCCCCTTAGCTTCTTCTTGCTTTGCAATGTCCTCTATAAATCGATTGCAATATTGTAATATTACCCTTTAAATGTATATAAACATGAAGATCATCTGTTAATTCTTCAGATATCATTCCCTCAATATTCAACAATACTCCATTTTCAAATCTAACTTCCTGGGCTAAGCCAGTGTCCATTGCGAAATAAGGGTCATATCTATGAATAGCTACATCAGCTAGCCATTTGATCTTTTGACTTCCTGCTCCACAATGTACGATATACATCTAATCTCTCAAATGAACCTAGCATTATGAATTATTTTTAGATAAAAATGTCTTAGAAGGCCTACGTTTATTTTCATTGATTAAACACTATGTTTGTAATTTAAATTATGAAATTAAAATTATTAACTCTCGCAATTAAATTCATTTTAGTGTTACTGAGACTCATTTATCTTTATCATATCAATTTTTTGATTGTTTATGGCTGTGCTTGTGGAGCTTTAGTTCCTGGAGGTAATTGACTTAATCCAAGTTATCCCATTGTCTCGATCTCTTTTAGGTTCATCCTCTTGCCAATACCATGCTTCAGCTTTTTCTACGATTGCATAACGCTTGGTAGTTAATCAGGATTGAAATCATCTGGAGGCATACCGAATTTACTTCTCTTTGCTGATTAAATATCAAAACTGTTCTTTGGTGGATTCAAAATATTAGCCTCTTCTAGTATGATCTTTCTGCGCTCCTTAAGCCACTTCTTCTTTTTCTCTAGACTCTCTTAAGGCAATAGAAAGAAGAACAGAGTATCACCTATAAGTATAAGAGATTTGTGATGTAATATTTTCTCTTATTTAGGCATTAGCGGTGCTCTATCTACCATCATAGCATTTTTACTTAGATTTTATAACTTAAACTCTCTATAATAGTTATTAGGATATTTGAATATATTGCTTACTCAGTTGATTCATCAAAATACAATCTAGCTGCTTTCCTAGAGATCTTGGAACATTTACTGAATCTAATGTAATTTATGGTAGTGTCCTGATTGAACTCTTTAGTGAGTCTGCCCAAAAACATTTCCTTACTGTTTATCAAGAAGTCCTTATTGTAGGTTCTGAGAATTCCATAGGCATTGACTTGCATAATGTATTGATATTTGGAGCTTTGCTCCATTCCCTCATTACTTCCTGTGTCTCCCTCAATTTCTGATTTACCATCTTCGCCTTCATCTTCATTTTGAATTCTTTTGCCAAGGATAGTTTTCTGATCAATCTAATCACATTCTATAGCTGACTGATTTCCGAACTCTTCTTTCATGTGCAATCTATATTGATTTTAATTCCCTTGAATTGTAATGTTTGTTGAGGTATTAATTTATTCTGATACTACCCTATTTGTATAATCCATTTTATTAATTATAAATATTTAATTGATGGAAAATAAATAAGAGCAGTCTATACTTGGGAAAAGAACATTTTAAGATAGAGAGCATGAGGATTCAAATATTGATAATCTGCCAACTGGTACTATAAATATTTTTAATTAAAATAATAAAGATAATCACAAACTTCAAGAGGAGTCTAAATAGGGTAATTAATAGAAGGAGGAAGAGAAAAGTGGAAAAATGAATGTGTCTAAATTTTACTATTTCAAGAATGGAATGAGATTTGTCCATAACTATAAACATGAATATATTGGACATGCCAAGAAGAGATGGGTTGACTAGGGGCTTCTTGATGTCTATAGGAAAGAATTTTTATCTTGCACACCTTAATACTATGAATCAGCAATAATTGATGGTAGGATTACTGTGAATGGATAAAAGGTTAAAACTGATTATCTTATCAGAGAGAATGATAAAATAGTTCATGCTGTCATTAGGAAGGAGCCACCTGTCATTGATTAAACTATAGATATCATTTATCAAGATAAAGATTTAGTAGCAGTAGATAAGCCAGCTTCTATGCCAGTTCATGAAGGGGGAAGTTATAAGCATAATAGTCTACTTAGCATCTTAGAAAATGATTATAATCTGAAGGGATTAAAAACTGTTCACAGGTTGGATAGGTAGACTTCAGGGATAGTTTTCTTTGCTAAAAATGTTAAAGCCACGAACGAATTCAGAACTGCTCTTGATAATGATTAGGTTTAAAAGATTTATTACGCTAGAGTATTAGGAAATTTTAAGTAGACTTATGGAACAGATGAAGTTGAGGTAAATAAATGGGTCTACACTGAGAACTTCAAGTTAGTGCTTCAAAATTGTGCTGATGAACTAGACCTGACAGAGGAGACTAGAAAAACTGCTAAGTAAGCAAGTACATCGTTTAGGTTTAAATTTTATGATGAGAAGTCAGATACATCGCTTGTTAAATATATCTTTTGAAACATCTATTCCCATTACATTTTTCTTAACTTTTTACGTTTACCCAAAACCGGTAGAACCCATTAGATAAGAGTACATTTAAAGGCTCTTGGTCATCCTATTGCCAATGATGTGATATATGGCGGGAAATATAGGAATAATTGCATTGAAAATTAGTTCACAGATGAAGATTTTGAAGATGTCTATTAAAATAAAACAGATGAGAAGGATTATCTATTTCTGATACTTTGGCTGCATGCTTACAAATACACTTACAAAGATATTTCTGCCAAAACCAAGAAGCCTTGCTGGGCTGAAACTGATTTCAAATTATGAAGCACAATAATTAAAGACGTTGATTGATTCAACTACCTAATTAAGAAATTATTAAAGTTTTGAAATAAAATCTTCAAAAATTATGAAGGATCGACAGGGTATTGGGGTTTTGGGGTTTTGGGGTTTTGGGG